CTATTCTGTTTCGGCTTATATCATTTGATATATGCCAGAGAATAAATAGAAAGTTAAACTGTGGAAAACCAGAGATGCACCCAATAAAGGTAAAAGCTCCATGGTATATGGTTGGCATAGATTTTATTTGCCCACTCAGTCCAATTAGTGAAGATGGTTGTAAATACATTTTAATTATTAGTGACTATTTTTCAAAGTGGATTGAAGTAATAGCCACTAAAGACAAAATGGCAGTTACAGTGGCAGGATGTCTGATCAAGGTATTAAATTTTTATTTCTGTCATTGTTTTAGCATCCTTGCTAAAGCTACCTTTCTGGGTATCAAGTTTTTGGGTCCAAATAGTTTGCATTTTTACATTCTATATTTCCAAACAACCTTAAAATTCCCTGATAATCTCAACTTGATACACTGATTTTCTCTCCAATTTCTTTATACATAAATTTATTTATATATGAAAATTTATTACAAAAATATATCCTTAAACTTGTATGTAACAAAACTATTTAGGACATCCGAAAAAACAAAAAATAGAGAAAATATCATGAATTTCAGAAATATACAGAAAAAGATAATTCTTGAACATTAATATTTTTTTTGTAACTTCTATTTTTATTTTTGGATCTTTTCTAAAAGAGAAAAAGCATCAATTGGAGAATCAGCCCAAATGTGATAAGTACACTTATGATAAGTGTTGCTGAAGTTGCTCTTTTTAATTTCTTACCTGAATTTTTCTCTTAATTCACATGCTTGTCATTTCTATTCAGCTTTGTAAATGTCCCTATAAATTTATTTTACATAGCACTTTCTTTCTGACCAATAAGTTTCTTAAACTTTAATAAATTAAATCAATTAAAAAAAATTATACTTAAATGAAGATAAAATTATATTATAATATTATATCTTTCTAAAGAGTTCAAATGTGATGATCTGAGAGATCAAAAGTGATGATCTTTACAAAAATTCGGTGGTATATTTCTTAGGATGCACTAGAGAAAATTAAGTTGGTTTGGGTATGTCAGGGTTAGGGTTCGGGTTAATATTAAAAAAATTAGGGTTAATATTATAAAAAATTAAGTTGTTTTAGGTATGTCAGGGTTAGGGTTAGGGTTAGGGTTAACCCTAACCTTAACCTTAACCCTAAGCTTAACTTTGATTGGGGCTTAATGATAAGACTAAATTTGTCTTCTTCTAGCCCCGGTCATGTAATTATTTTTTACGTTACGACTGTAAATTTTTTTTTTATCGGCAAAAGTGTAAATAAATAAAACTATGTAGAGCGTAAAGGTGCTACTGATCGGGTATCAGCATTTAGAAAGAAGTTTTATAAAAAAAAGAGAGATAGATATAGAAAATTTTTGAAACAGTTAAGGAAAGACGATGCACAAGATTGACGAAACATGCAGTGGCGGATTTAGTATAAAGCGTGGGGTTAGAGCTGTCCCCTCCCCCTCTCCCCCCCTCCCACACACACACACTCCCTAGAACAGTCAAACGGCGCCCCTAAAAACATTCAAAAACATGTATATGTATGTAATATGTTTGATAAAAGTCATGTAAAACCAAAAGTGGTTATTACCAACAACAACAACAACAACGAGCTGTTTATTTTCCGTTAATCATTTTACAATAGTTTTGATAATAGTGATAATAATAATAATAATAGTAGCAAAAATATATAATAATAACATAAGATAAAAATTCAACCAGAGTTGTTACTCCTTGGTCTTGACCTTGACCTTGGCCTTTCCTTAAGGCCAAAAATTGAAGTCTTGGCCTTGGTCTTAACCTTGAAACTGTTAGCCTTGGCCTTGAAAAGTTTGGCCTTGGCCTAGATTGTTTTGACCTTGGTCTTAAACAAAATACATATTTTCTAATTGATTTCATTGAATTCTTCCCATAACCTTAGTCTATTTTTACAAAATGTGGTTTTCTTATCACAGCACTTGCTACTTATAGTTGTCTTAATAAATGGCCTTAAGACAAGATAAAAGTTAAAATCTGAAAATGTTTGCGTGGCCCTTGCCCTTGAAACTCTTAATCTTGGCCTTGACCTTAAACTCTTGAGCTTATCCTTGGCCTTGTAACTTTTAACCTTAGTCTTGGCATTGGCATTGGAACGCGTGGTCTTGGCCTTGGTCTTGATATTTTTGGCCTTGTTAATAACCCTAATTTCCACACCAACCCCCGGTGGTTTATACCTCCCCCGACCCCAGTTGGCCCTATTCATTGACTTGCCCTCCTCCCGCTAAACCTCAATCCGCTACTAGAAACATGTTGAAACAACATTATGCAAACCGTGTAACCTGTGCAACCATGGAAACAAATACCTTGACGTTTTTAATTTATTTTTCAGGGTTGTTAAGCTTTGAATTTTATAACAAAATAAAAAAGCAAACTTTTCTTAAGCTAGTGTTTCTGTTCAACCCTCAAATAGGTCATCACATTAAAGCAGATAAGGGTTTGTTATTACTATTATAACAAACAGTTATTATTCTTGGA